TGATATTCTGATTTCGCGTTCTTTATATATTATTGTTTATAATAATTATACTTTTTGGTTAGAATCATTTTCTTGTAACTTTTTTACGAGTAATAAAGTTTCGTTGCAATAGTTTTTTTTTGGTTGTCCTTTTTTGGCAAATGAAATAAACAAATCAATGAGTTAAATGACCGATAGTATCATTGCGTAGAAAAAGAATACGAAGAAAAGATGAATAAGTTGTTACGGCGACGATAAATAAAAATTATCTACGATCATTTATTTATCCTTCTTCCCGATTTATTTAGATAAATATTCAATAAATTAAATGGAAGAACACGTCGTAACTTATTCTTCCGATAATCCGATTTCTTCTCGTAGGGGATGACTGGAAATATAAAAAAAAGAAAAAAGAAAGAAATAAAATAGACGAAAGAGAGAGAAAGCAACGTGAAGAAGAACGTACGTACACGTATTTCCTTTCGAAATTTTTTTCCGTTTCATCGCGACGACCTTACACTGTTTGCAGTTAAACAATATTACGTAGTAAAATTTATGGTCGCCCTTACTCGGCCTGCCTCCCCCTACAATGCGTTTTCTTTCTCTTTCTCTCTCTATATCTCTCTATCTTTCTCGTTCGATGAGGGTGGCTGAAAGAGTATCAACGGCACGAGAAATACGGATGTTATGGGCAGTGACACCCCTTCGTGTACCCTGTCCGTGATCCACGGCTTAACGGATACCACCCTAAAACCTCCGTTCGCGCTCAACGTGCACGCTTAAAAAGAGGGAAACTCGCGAAACGAAAGGGTCACGAAAGAGCCGCGAAACGAGCCGTAGATTTCGGTTAAATTCTTTTAATCGAACTAACCGACCACCCAAAATCTTCATTTCTTCTTTCTTTTTTTTCGTATCTTTCTATTATTCTTGTTTCCAAAAAAACACTCCGTTCGAATGTTCTCATCGATAGTATCGTTATTTTTTGTTTCTACCAAGCGTGAATATTATTTTTTAGATTTACGTTATATTAGGTACTAATTATTAATGGATTTAGGTTATATTTATTGTTAGTTCGATAAATATTGTTGACCGGTTATTACGTGCAAACATTTAATGGGTTTCAGAATAACTGTGTGTTAATAATTAAATCGAAATATTAAAAATATCGTTGCACATTGTTAATATTCAAATTTGATTATACATTATTGTAAGACAATGAAATAATACTATAATGTGTAAATATACACGTTTATACCTATTTTCAGAATATCGATTAATAATTAATTAACTTTATATTATGTCATTTTTTGTTTATAAATAATAAATATTTAGTCACATCTTATTAATTGTTTCGATTAATTAAAGCAAGGATATAAATAATTGATTATATTATTAAATCCCCGTTTAAAGATTAAACTTCATCTCCTAAATTCGAATTTAGCGAAAGATAGATGGTGGGTTGATGAAAACCGCGAATGTAATAACGCATTTTTTAGTTTTCTTGTTACTATGGGATTGCGTACGTAGATGCGTACGTTTATACATCGTGGCCTCGTAAAAAGCGAACAATATTCCTTCGACGGAAAGCCCAGGGGCGTCGTTATTCTGGACCATCGCATATCCGACGACTCTTCTCGTTTGCCATTCTCCCTGTTACGAAGAAAGAGAGAAAGAGAGAGTGGGGAAAGAGAGAGAGAGAAAGAGATTCTCCCTTTTTTTTACGCTTCTAATATCTCACCTCGGTGTTATAGGAATAAATGGAAGAAGAGAGAGGCCGTCAACGAACTTTATCAAACAAAATTCAGTATCATCAGTATCACTTTGTTCCCTCCCCCACCCCCCGGTTTTTATTTTTTTTACTCAAAATATTTCAACTCTCTACCTTTTCAATTGCATTAAATCATCATTTGATTATTTATATTCTATAATTATTAACGAGTAAAGGTTTCATATTTTAGAAGGATCGAATATGGGGTTCGAATATAATCGAAGAGAGGGTAGGTAAATCACGTTTACATGTGTTATTTCCTAAATTCACGTTAATAGCCATTTAAAGGAGTCTGGCCTAGTCTACTACTAGATTGTATAGAGAAAGAGAATGATGAAGAGAGATAGAAGTAGCGAAAGGGAAAGAGGGAGGAGAGGGGGGGAAAGAGAAAGAGAGAGAGAGAGAGTAGAACGGAGTCATCTCTTTGTGCCCTTAATTTCGTTACAAAGGTCTCGTCTCTCCCTTCCGCGGGCGTCGTATCGTAACTCTGTTATCGAAGAGCATAACCAACCAAATACGACGTTTAATGTTCAGCTCCGCTCGAGAGAACCGCAAATGGCAAGTAGCCCTCGTCACCGTACTTATTCACCCTTTCTCTCTTTCACTAAATCCCCTCTTACTTTCCTCCCTAACCCCCGTCCCTCCTTCCCTCCCATCCTTCCACCCTTCGTCCGTCCCTCTTTCACCGTTTCGTTGCTTACGCACAGACGAAAGGGCGACTTCTTTCTTTCTTCCCGTTTAAAAGTTACCGCCGTCGTTTCGTTGAAGTCACTTCTCGCGTCGCCACAAAGTACCAACCCCCAAGCCCATTCCCACATGAAGAGATTTTACTTGCTGCTCTTAGATTTTACACACCTGTTTTATTATTTAACCTGTCCGTTCTTAACTAATTTATATCATATTTTTTTTTTAATTCAAATTTCTTTTCGACATATCGTTTTGTATATTTTTTTTTTAACGAATAAATAAATATATTTTTCTTATAGAAAATAACGATAGTTAATAATTTTGCATAACTTTTTGAATTCGTTAAAGTTTCATTTCTCGACTGGATAATAGATAATATTTCTTTATCTTTCATGAATGTGCGTATTTTAAATGTAAACATTTACGATAGAGATTAAGTCGTTCGCGGTAAATAAGTAATTACCTTTTTGATAATATTTAATGATAGAGATAAAAATATCTAAATAAATATAGAAATATAACCGCGATATTTATTAAATCGTATCGCGAATAAAAAATCAGATACAATTTATAAACGAATATTCAGCAGATGAAGAAAAAAGAAAGGAAAACGAGTTGAGGGGGAAAAAAAAAACAAAAAGAAGCACATTGCAGGAGATTAAGCGAACATTTTACTCTTATTCATCATAATATATCTTAGATATCATAAATAATAAATATAAAAACGTAGAATATTCGTGTATATATGCCGATATCTAAAAGTCGAGCTTGGATTCTTCATAAAGCGAGAGAGAGAGTGAGAAAGAGAGAGAGAGAAAGAAGCAAGCGCGCGCGGCAACAACGATAAGATAAAAAAGGATAGAGGAATACGAGGCGGTACTTGGTAGGCGTGGCAGTCGCGGCGGGTCCGGTGGCACGAGCTTCGTCGGGATTGGGCGGTCGGCGGGGTTGACTCGAAGAGTGGGGGAAGGTCCGGCGCGCGTTCTACCGAGGCGGCGCGAGACAGTTGCCGAGTGCGAGCGAACGAACACGAACGAGTTAACACACACGAGAGCGAGAGAAAGAGAGAGACAACGAATGAACGAAGGAACGAAGGAAAGAAGGATGGAACGAGCGAGCGAGCGAATGAACGAGGGAGTGAAAGAGAGAGTTTGAGTAAAGGACAGAGAGAAAGAGAAAGAGAAAGAGAGTGAAATAGAATGAGTGAGAGAGAAAGAGTGAGAAGGAAGGAACGAACGGACGGACGAACGAACGAACGAGTCGTGGCTGGCTGGCTTGGCTTGGCTGGCTTGGCTGGCTGGCTGGCTGGCTGGCGGGCGCTGTTGCCGTCTCTACGCGTCG